TATGGTGGAGACATTTTTCTTTTTTCCTAAGATTACAGACATGTGCAGGAACCAGCAACATTAATTACAGCACACTAGACCACACACAACCTAAAAGGTTAATATTCAAATTTGAGTAAAAAAAAATACATAAAGCGCCTCTTTTTTTAGGTGTTTATAATAACACAGACAACATAAACAGATATTTTAAACACTTTCAATAATGTTTTATGATAATCCAAAAGGGTTTCTTTATAGTGATACCAAATTTGTGCATTTACACCTCTGCGTGTGGATTTGGGAAGCTTTTAAATTTGGGTAGGCAAAATCCAGGCGGAAATCCCAAAATAACAGCAGAGTTTAACTGGATAATTAAATATATATCAAAGTAATACAGTAGTCAACATTTAATGTGGATTAAAAACGTTCATCAAACTATTGAACAACACCCATTCTTGTTGTAGGGCAGTTTTGAAAAACCTTTCTGATGCACTTCAAATGTTGACTACTAATTGAATGAATTATTTCACATACACATAAAGCACATTGAACTTGGTGAAACATAGTTTTGATGAAAATAAAAATGTGGTGACCTCTGAAATAGAGAGGAAAATGAATAAATGAATTAATAAAAATGTCAGAAATAAAGGTGAAATCCTGTTTCTGCAGGTTTCACAAGTTAAATTTAAGTGAAGTTTATAAACTAATTTGGAGAGGATCATGTGATTATGATTGAACACAGCTGGTTCTGCATTATCTATGTATGATCCACCACTCAGATGAGTCCTAACCAAGTGTGCCGCAAGCCTGCGTTTGAGTGAAGGTCTCGGCCGTTAGATCGCCCCCTGGGGGCTGGCTGCAGTACAAGTCATAAAGCCCGCCTCCTCCTGTTGATGGCTAATTAAAAATAAAAACCTTTCTAAAAATGTATGTGTTGTTTATATGTTATTGAGCATAATTTACAAGTGTTATTTCTACCCCTATGAAGATAACAAATACCAACAACAAATATAACAATAAGAGAATATATTATTTGTGCTCATATTCAGGCTAGAGTGTATAAAAGATCGTTTATTTATGCAGTCCACCATGTATTGCTTTTATTAAAGTTTAACAGCTTACATCACACCGTTTTTAAACCGTACATTATTGTGTTTTTTTAATGTAAGTGCTTCTATTTACATCAGTGAGCGTTTGTTATAGTGCAGACACCGGCAGTCGAGTGAGAAGTTGGGGGGCGTGGTTGATTTTACATAAAGCGTTTGGTTGGAAGCTCGACTCCGCTCATTTTCGCGGCTCCTCCTCTGGCTCCATCAGACAGTCCTTCTGCGCATGTCAAGGCTCCAATTTCTGCAGTCTTTTGCGACAGTTTGTGCCCGTCAAGCAGGCGTTTTGCCCTCAAGGCGTTCAATGGGAAAAGGGGCTGTCGCGTCGTCCATATTTTTTACAGTCATTGGTCCTAACCCACTATAAGAGCCAGGGTTTCTCATGACAGTCATCTTCGATTTGAAGAATCCCCCTTCCACCCCTGCTCCTCCACCTTTCCCTTTATAGGGTGGCACAGTGGCCGAGTGATTAACGCTGTTGCCTCACAGCAAGAATGTCACCTGTACTAGTCCTTAAACAAGCCGGCAGTCAAGTTAGCATGTTCTTCCCGTGCTTGTGCGGGTTTCCCCCGGGTTCTCCCGTTTCCTCCCACATTCCAAAAACATGCATCATACGGGAATTGATCTTGATTTAAATTCAGCACTACAGTTAAACTCATCCAGCAGCATATCTTTTCATAACAATCATTTTAGTCATCAGCTGTTATCAAAAAGGGGAGTCTGAATAATGATGGTTTGTTCTGTAGGCAATCGAAAAATTATATTGCTTGAGGGGGCTAATAATATTGACCTTAAAATGGCTTTTGAAAAATTTTAAACTGCTTTTATTCTAGCCGAAATAAAACAAATAAGACCTTCTCCAGAAGAAAGAATATTATAGGGAATATTATAGGTGAAAATCTCCTAAATCTGTTATATATCATTTGGGAAATATTTGACAAATAAATAATAATTCACAGCAGGGCGAATCATTCTGACTTCAACTTTATATTGTGATCATTGTAAGTGAATTTAGCATATACGGTTCTTCCCATGATAAAGAGTTAAAAACACTCAAACAGCACATATAATAACGCACAAGAAAGAAATGAAAGCTGTATCAAGCTTTTACTGTTGTAATGCTTGAAAAACTGCCTTTGCTCTTTGACCCATATATGAGCATCTCTCTGCTTTTCATCGTGTATTATGGTCTGTCCCGGGATCAGTCATCATCAGCTCAAAGGCTGCCATGGGAAAAACTGATCCTGTAACAGAAATGTGAATCTGCCATGAGAAACACTGCCAATGAATCCCCTCATCAGAGCAGCTTCCCATTCCATCCCGTCTCCCTTAGAGACCACGTTTTTACTCCCACAGTTTTTGAATCACTATCCTGGTCCCGGATGATTTTCCCACTCTCTCTGTTTGGTCGGTATACAAAAGCAGGATTGCAAAGCTCAACTAATAGTCCTCAAATAGGACATACACTGCCTTTTTTTCATAAGAGGTCAAATGAATCTCTTCAGAAAGCTTTATAGGGACTGCAGGCGGGCAATAGCAGTTTTTGCTAAAACGCCTGGCAAAAAACATGTTTCCTGTTTCATTCATTAATTTCCATCCGCTTTTCCGGGGCCGGGTCGCGGGGGCGGAAGTCTTAGGAGAGAACCCTAGACTTCCCTTTCCCCGGACACTTCCTCCAGCTCCTCCAGGGGGATCCCGAGGCCTTCCCAGGCCAGCCGAGAGACATAGTCCCTCCAGTGTGTCCTGGGTCTTCCCTGAGGTCTCCTCCCGGTGGGACATGCTGGAACACCTCCCTAGATAGGCATCCAGGAAGCATCTGAAACAGATGCCTGAGCCACCTCAGCTGATTTATGTCAATGTGGAGGAGCAGCGGCTCTACTCTGAGCTCCTCTCGGGTGACACAGCTCCTCACCCTGTCTATAAGGGTGCACCCTGTCACCCTGCGAAAGGAAACTCACAGTTCACAGTACTCATATGGATTACTTTAACTCAAATGGTTTCTAGCAATCGGTTTCCTCAAAGGGTTTGAGTTGCCTTAACTTATTGGTTTTTACTAGGGATGTAACGGTATCAGAATTTTACGGTACGATAATACCTCTGTATGAATGGCACGGTACGGTATTTATTGAATCATTTACAGGAAAAACAAAACTAATGAAAAGACTCGAAAAAAGTGGCAAAAGTGTTTATTTACCTGAGCACTGAACATATCAATGACATACAAATCAGCCATCTATCTGTAAGTTTCGAAACAGTAACTTCGATTTTTTAATTTTAATAACAAAAAACCATTAAACCATGTAAAAAAATAAAGTGTTGAAAACTCATCACATTCAACATTTAATCACTCATTCACTTAGATAGAGATGGGTTTTTAAGGAAAATGATCATATAACTATAATCTGGTAAAGCTGGGATCTCTGGGCATGTTCCCTGCAACAGAAAAAACCCTCTCATTTGGGACTGAGGTTTCTGGGACAGAGAGATATGATTTAGCCAAGGTTGACAGCAGTGGGTAACGTTGTGCATTGTCTTTCCACCACTTGAGAGGACAAGCCATGAGTGAGATAAAGGTCTCTGTGCGGAACAAGTCAATGTCTGCATCAATCTGAATAGTGTGCTGTGTTCTGCAGTCCCCATGACTGTTATTAGTCATATTCCCCAACTTATATTTCACCAGTCTGGCAGTGCCTGCATACTGTTTTTTCTTTGTCTGTCACCTTTTCCCCTTTTACGTATCTTTTTAGAAAGAAATCGAAATTCTTCTACATCCGATTTAAAACCCGCTTTAGGTTCGATCATTTCTTTTTCATCCCCGCTTCTAGCAGCACACTCCATTTCCGCATTACTGGATCTGTAGTGACAACAGACCGCAAAGGATGATGGCCACGCCTGGGCTGATGGGAATTGTAGTTCCAGCTACCTCCCGTTCACTTCATTCGCCTGAGCAAATTTTTCTCAGAAATATAGTTTTATTGAGTCATGCGCCTACGGTAATATTGAAAAATATTACTATTGCGGTATGACGGTATTTACAATATTGTTACATCCCTAGTTTTTACAGTACTCAGTTGGTTTGAGTTATATTTATTTATTGGGTTTTACTGTGCTCAAATTGCTTCATTTACTTAAATGGATTAAGTTCACAGTACTCATTACGATTAGTTTTTGAACTTAAATGCTTTGTTGCAATCGGTGTCCTAAAATGGTTTGAGTTACCTTAACTTTTCAGGTTTTACAGTGTAGTTAAACTGACTTAAAACAGCTTGCATAACTTATTAAATTAAGTTTGAACATGATTAACTTAGTTTAATAAGGTACAATGACCTAAAACATATGCTATCATGACTAATTGATGATATAATGTTTTAATGTAGGAACAAAAATACTGAAGAAGTCAATAGCAGCTTTTTGTCAGAAGAATTCTTCAGTACATCTTCCATTTTCAGGATAGGGTGGCACAATATTGACAAAATCTGATGTTACATTCCTTCATTCATTCATTTTCTTTTCGGCTTAGTCCCTTTACTAATCTGGCGTCGCCACAGCGGAATGAACCACCAACTTATTCAGCATATGTTTTACTTAGCGGATACCCTTCCAAATGCACCTCATCACTGTGAACCACCCATACATTTTCATTCACACACATACACTACGAACAATTTAGTTTACCCAATTCCCCTATCTTTGGACTGTGGAGGAAACCGGAGCACCCAGAGGTAACCCACGCCAACATAGAGAGAACATGCGAACTCCACATAGAAATGCCAACTAGGCTAGCCGAGGCTCAAACCAGCGACCTTCTTGCTGTGAGGCGACATCGCTACCCACTGTGCCACCGGGCCACCCTCTGGCGTTACAATATTTAGTGTAGCTCCCTCCAGCAACAAACGAGCAAGAGTCTTTGTTTTCTACTGACTGGTTTATTTTCATAGCAAGTCTTCAGTTCTCAACATAGAGCAAACCACAAGACATCAGGGGTGTACCAGACGTAAGAACTAAAAAACATACAACAATGAATTACAACAGTGCATTTCCATATCAAATTAATCCAAATCACCACATTAAGGTCACACATAACAATGGATCACATAATCTTAACTAATACAATTTAACTTTATAAATAGCACAGCTCATAAACAAACAACAACACCACACTTCAAATCAAACAAAACCAACAAATCATACAAAACAAACATACCTCATTGGCTGGTTACGGAAGGGAGAAACTCAAGAAAAGCACAAGCATTCCTTAGCTTGTTGAATGCTTGGAAGTGAATGCATTTGTCTCTCTACTCACAGTGGTGCATCATTTTTATAGTTTCCCCTGAAATCAGCTCCGCCTTAATTAGTTCCTAGGTGAACTGGCATAAGATCTTAAACACACATGACATCTGCTACATTTAGATTTTCTGCTATACATTGCAATATGAATATAATTTCAACAGATTCATTCATTTTCTTGTCGGCTTAGTCCCTTTATTAATCCGGGGTCGCCACAGCGGAGTGAACCGCCAACTAATCCAGCAAGTTTTTTACGCAGCGGATGCCCTTCCAGCCTCAACCCATCTCTGGGAAACATCCACACACACACTCATACACTACAGACTATTTAGTCTACCCAATTCACCTGTACCACATGTCTTTGGACTGTGGGGGAAACCCACGCGAAGGCAGGGAGAACATGCAAACTCCACACAGAAACGCCAACTGAGCCGAGGTTTTTCAACAGATTGTTCATTTGAATTGATCGAGGTAAAGGTGTGAATCATGTATTGAAAATAACAAACAAATTGCAAGCAAAAATAATTACAATAGACCAGCAAAAAATAAACATGAACATAAATAAACAGTGCTATTGGGTTAAATCAGTGTTTCTCAACCACGTTCCTGGAGGACCACCTGCTCTGTTTTCTGTGTCACCTTACTTAAACACACCTGATTTAGATTGCCAGCTCATTAGACCTGAAATGGGTATGACAGACACAGGAAACATCCAAAACATGCAGTGCTGGTGGGCCTCCAGGAGCGTGGTTGAGATACACTGGTTTAAATTATTGATCAATAAAGTTACAAATGTACTTTTTTTACCCGAATGCTTTAAATCGTCTTGAAATGCCTTTAAAACATATCAAATTTATCAAGTTTCATTCTGTTATGGTTATACTTTGCAACGACTCCACAAAAAGCATGCATTCTGAACTGTTGTGCTGATCAATTGTAATCTCAACACGCGTATCCTCCGATGTGACACATGTTTTGATATAGATGCTGAAACAATATATCGAGCAGCCCTATTTCATGATATAACCTCTTTATCTTTCAAATGCAATGGCAAATTTTCATATGTGGTGACAACAGCAAGCTGTATGTGAATGTTTAAACTCTTTGGAGACAGTCCTAAACTCTCAAAAACACACACAAACACAAGCGGAGACTTCAGAAAGTCGCCTTTGACACAATTACAGTGGTGCCTTGTGATCAGCGACACAAAGCTCTGCTTGTCTCTCATTTCACTGAGCTCAAACTGTGGATAAGGATCCCATGAAGCAACATCTTACTGTCTCTCTATCAGTGTTAATGATAAAACCTGCCGAGAGCCTCAACGCTGCTCCTCAATGCATAAACACATTTTAAAAATGGTGTTTGCTGCTTGTTCAAATTACTTATTTAAAGGGCCCCTTTTCAAGATGTCAAGATCTTTTGTGTCTCCAGAGTGTGTCTGTAAAGTTTCAGCTCAAAACACCCATCAGATTATTTATTAGACCCCTGTGTTTGGACTGTGAAACCGGAGCACCCGGAGGAAACCCACGCCAACACGAGGAGAACATGAAAACTCCAAATGTAAATGCCAACTAGCTCAGCCAAGGCTCAAAGCAGCAACCTTCTTGCTGTGACGGAACAGCGCTAACCACTAAGCCACCATGCCGCCCTCCTATATGGTTTCAGCTCGATTTGAATAAGTAGTTTGAACAAACTGTAAATGTCATTTTTCTGAGTGCAGACAGGTTGTCAAAACTACACATTTCCAGGAATGAAATGTTTACCAGTCTGGGAAAATCAAAGCTTTTAAGTGCTGCAGTAAATCTGAGGAGCTTTAACCATGTCATAACTTTCAACCTTTGTCCGCCATAACACTATATCACAAGCGCACGCTTCATGAATGGACTGTGTTGTAAGACGCAGAAGCACTTTCATTTGATCTATGTAAGTCAGCAGTGAAGAAATTGAGCATTCATTCATTTTCCTTCAGCTTAGTCCCTTTATTTATCATAGGTCGCCACAGTGGAATAAACCGCCAACTAATCCAGAATATGTTTTACACAGTGGATCTTCCAGCTGCAACCCAGTACTGGGAAACACCCATACACCCTCGTTCACACATACCTGAACACTACCACCAATTTAGTTTATTCAATTCCCCTATAGTGCATGTGTTTAGACTGTGGGGGAAACCAGAGCATGCTGAGAAAACCAACGCCAACATGAGGAGAACATGCAAACTCCACACAGAAATGCCAACTGACCCAAGTCGGGACTTGAACTAGTGACCTTCTTGCTAAGATGCAACAGTGCTAACCACTGAGCCACCCAAATTAAGCATTTATTTCACTTACAAGAAGCAATAGTCATGTAAAAGCAAATGCATGCTTATCTTTTGCATTAAAACATTGATATCAGCTATTAACGTCCTGTAATTTGTAACTTCCTTGCAAAAAGCAAAGAGGCAAAAAGAAGTCATTGTGAATTTCTCCAGCATCTTCACACTAAATTCAGCACCTAAACTGTTTTATGAGCATCTTCACAGACTTAATTCAGCACCTAAACTGTTTTATGAGCATCTTCACAGGCATAATTCAGCATCATAACTGTTTTATGAGCATCTTCACAGACTTAATTCAGCACCTAAACTGTTTTCTGAGCATCTTCACAGACTTAATTCAGTCTCAAAACTGTTTTATGAGCATCTTCACAGACTTAATTCAGCACCTAAACTGTTTTCTGAGCATCTTCACAGACTTAATTCAGTCTCAAAACTGTTTTATGAGCATCTTCACAGAGTTAATACAGCATCAAAACTGTTTTATGAGCATCTTCACAGACTTAATTCAGTCTCAAAACTGTTTTATGAGCATCTTCACAGGCATAATTCAGCATCAAAACTGTTTTCTGAGCATCTTCACAGACTTAATTCAGCATCAAAACTGTTTTATGAGCATCTTCACACTAAATTCAGCATCAAAACTGTTTTATGAGCATCTTCACAGGCAAAATTCAGCATCAAAACTGTTTTATGAGCATCTTCACACTTAATTCAGCATCTAAACTGTTTATGAGCATCTTCACACTAAATTCAGCATCAAAACTGTTTTATGAGCATCTTCACAGGCAAAATTCAGCATCAAAACTGTTTTATGAGCATCTTCACACTAAATTTAGCATCAAAACTGTTTTATGAGCATCTTCACACTTAATTCAGCATCAAAACTGTTTTATGAGCATCTTCACACTTAATTCAGGATCAAAACTGTTTTATGAGCATCTTCACACTTAATTCAGGATCAAAACTGTTTTATGAGCATCTACACAGACTTAATTCAGCATCAAAACTGTTTTATGAGCATCTTCACACTAAATTCAGCATCAAAACTGTTTTATGAGCATCTTCACAGACTAAATTAAGCATCAAAACTGTTTTATGAGCATCTTCACAGACTTAATTCAGCATCAAAACTGTTTTATGAGCATCTTCACACTAAATTCAGCATCAAAACTGTTTTATGAGCATCTTCACAGGCATAATTCAGCATCAAAACTGTTTTATGAGCATCTTCACAGGCAAAATTCAGCATCAAAACTGTTTTATGAGCATCTTCACAGGCATAATTCAGCATCAAAACTGTTTTGAGCATCTTCACAGACTTAATTCAGCACCTAAACTGTTTATGAGCATCTTCACAGGCAAAATTCAGCATCAAAACTGTTTTATGAGCATCTTCACACTTAATTCAGCATCTAAACTGTTTATGAGCATCTTCACACTAAATTCAGCATCAAAACTGTTTTATGAGCATCTTCACAGGCAAAATTCAGCATCAAAACTGTTTTATGAGCATCTTCACAGGCAAAATTCAGCATCAAAACTGTTTTATGAGCATCTTCACAGACTTAATTCAGCATCAAAACTGTTTATGAGCATCTTCACAGACTTAATTCAGCACCTAAACTGTTTATGAGCATCTTCACAGACTAAATTAAGCATCAAAACTGTTTTATGAGCATCTTCACAGACTTAATTCAGCATCAAAACTGTTTTATGAGCATCTTCACACTAAATTCAGCATCAAAACTGTTTTATGAGCATCTTCACAGACCTAATTCAGCATCAAAACTGTTTTATGAGCATCTTCACAGGCAAAATTCAGCATCAAAACTGTTTTATGAGCATCTTCACAGGCATAATTCAGCATCATAACTGTTTTGAGCATCTTCACAGACTTAATTCAGCATCAAAACTGTTTATGAGCATCTTCACAGACTTAATTCAGCACCTAAACTGTTTATGAGCATCTTCACAGACTAAATTAAGCATCAAAACTGTTTTATGAGCATCTTCACACTAAATTCAGCATCAAAACTGTTTTATGAGCATCTTCACAGAGTTAATTCAGCATCAAAACTGTTTTATGAGCATCTTCACAGGCAAAATTCAGCATCAAAACTGTTTTATGAGCATCTTCACACTTAATTCAGGATCAAAACTGTTTTATGAGCATCTTCACACTTAATTCAGGATCAAAACTGTTTTATGAGCATCTTCACAGACTTAATTCAGCATCAAAACTGTTTTATGAGCATCTTCACAGGCAAAATTCAGCATCAAAACTGTTTTATGAGCATCTTCACAGACTTAATTCAGCATCAAAACTGTTTTATGAGCATCTTCACAGGCATAATTCAGCATCATAACTGTTTTGAGCATCTTCACAGACTTAATTCAGGATCAAAACTGTTTTATGAGCATCTTCACACTTAATTCAGGATCAAAACTGTTTTATGAGCATCTTCACAGACTTAATTCAGCATCAAAACTGTTTTATGAGCATCTTCACAGACCTAATTCAGCATCAAAACTGTTTTATGAGCATCTTCACAGACCTAATTCAGCATCAAAACTGTTTTATGAGCATCTTCACAGACTTAATTCAGCATCAAAACTGTTTTATGAGCATCTTCACAGGCATAATTCAGCATCATAACTGTTTTGAGCATCTTCACAGACTTAATTCAGCATCAAAACTGTTTATGAGCATCTTCACAGACTTAATTCAGCATCAAAACTGTTTTATGAGCATCTTCACAGGCAAAATTCAGCATCAAAACTGTTTTATGAGCATCTTCACAGACTTAATTCAGCATCAAAACTGTTTTATGAGCATCTTCACAGGCATAATTCAGCATCATAACTGTTTTGAGCATCTTCACAGACTTAATTCAGCATCAAAACTGTTTATGAGCATCTTCACAGACTTAATTAAGCATCAAAACTGTTTTATGAGCATCTTCACACTAAATTCAGCATCAAAACTGTTTTATGAGCATCTTCACACTTAATTCAGGATCAAAACTGTTTTATGAGCATCTTCACAGAGTTAATTCAGCACCAAAACTGTTTTCTGAGCATCTTCACAGACTTAATTCAGCATCAAAACTGTTTTATGAGCATCTTCACAGGCAAAATTCAGCATCAAAACTGTTTTATGAGCATCTTCACACTTAATTCAGGATCAAAACTGTTTTATGAGCATCTTCACACTTAATTCAGGATCAAAACTGTTTTATGAGCATCTTCACAGACTTAATTCAGCATCAAAACTGTTTTATGAGCATCTTCACAGGCAAAATTCAGCATCAAAACTGTTTTATGAGCATCTTCACAGACTTAATTCAGCATCTAAACTGTTTTATGAGCATCTTCACACTTAATTCAGCATCAAAACTGTTTTATGAGCATCTTCACAGGCAAAATTCAGCATCAAAACTGTTTTATGAGCATCTTCACAGACTTAATTCAGCATCTAAACTGTTTTATGAGCATCTTCATAAATAAGTAATAAGTAATAATTTCCTGAGTTACTTAAGAATAAGTAATTCATGAAAAACGGAAGTGTTGGCAGGTGTGCTTACCAGTTTAATATTGATTTGATCTGCTGTAGTTAGAAATCAGACTGTTTTATCTTCTTAAGCCTGGTTTATACTTCTGCATCAAGTGACCGGCGTAACCCACGGCGCATGCAACGTGCGTAGCTGTGCATTTATACTTCTGCGCGCTGTCTCTGTTGGTCTGCATTAACACTTCCGAAACGCTAGTTGGCAGTGAGGTGTAAATGTTCTGTGTCGAGTTTCTTCACTGCTGTTTTGCTTTTCCTGAAAACTTCCGGGATGTACAAGTGGCTCAAACTCGCTCATTTTGAGGCAGGAACCGGCGGACGTGCAACAACTTTAACTATGCGGTAAACACAAAACAAAACTTTCCATCCGGAGCTCCTTCACTGGACTCCACACTTGTAAACAATCGCTCCATCAGGCTCGCACCATTCACGCAGCTCTCGGTCCCGCCCAGACTAGTCAGCTCTACCACGCCGACCAATCACAGAGCTTGCGCTACACGTTGTTGCGACGTGTAGTTACATTTTTTGAGAGGTGCACGTCAGTGACGCCATCGGCCACAGCGAAGGGCTATGCGTCAGCGCCGTAGCATACGCCGGCGTTTGATGCAGAAGTATAAATCAGCCTTAAGTGTAAGGGCTTATAATGCGGTTCTGGCGCCATCTTGTGGATAGAAAACGTCAACTGTCGCTGACGAGCTCTCTCAGAAATTGTAAATATTTTCAAATAGGCACTATTCTTGCAAATAAACTGCATAGTTGCAATCTAAACAACTACATTCTCCACTAAAAAATGCTCAAAAATATATTTTGTTGTGTAACGGCTGTAATATTTTTCAAACTGTAGTGTCTGCTTGTTGCTGGCTGTATGTGGGCGGAGTAATACACAAAGGGACAAAATATATCACGGCTATTAGCCAATCAGATTCAAGATCCAGACAGAACTGCTGTATAAATAAATATATAGAAATATATTTTTAAATAATAAAAAGACACATATATACATATACATGTATTATTTATAATATTATATTTATTTATACCTAATTCATACATTTATTTAGATATTTATTTAATTGTATTGATTTAATTAATTGATTTATGATGGTTTTTTTTTAGGTTTTTCTTTGAGTTTGGAGTGTAGAGAGCCTAAGGGCAGGGCTGAACATTCCATCAATAATTGACAAGTCATTATTCACTGATTGACAGGTTATGACGAAACATTGAGGAATGCTGAAGAGAGTCACCTTATTAAGCAATACGACTCCTAGTCATTCTTAAAGGGACATGTCCACTAATAACACTGACAAATCTGCACTAAACCCAGAATACAACCTCTAAAATATGGTCATGTTATTCTAAACCTGACTTCATGAGGACATGTTTTGAAGAAAGTCAGTTAATATGAATCACAGTATCTCTGAGGAACAGAACTGATGATCTTCATGTGAACTGAAGCTTCTTCAGAATTCTTCATTCAAGAGTTCACACTTAGCTGATGATTAATTATGAAGCGTGTTTGGCATGCTGTCCTGGGAAAGAGCCCTGAGCTTATAAGATCCTCGAGGCTGGGGCTTCCTCCCGTTTGCTAGGTAAGAAGGGAGTTTGAGCTCAGGTAGATCTGGAGAACTCCCCTGCTGTAGTAGCTAATGAACAGATAGTGATTGCTCTTAAGAGAGAACTACTTACTAGGAGCATGACTATGTGCCGATTTGGATTAGTCAATTAACTTAAGTCACATGTTTTTGGACGGTGGGAGGAAACCGGGGAATCCAGGGGAAACCCACTTGAGCACGAGGAGAACGTGTAAACTCCGCACAGAAACGTAAGCTGTCTTGGTAAGGACTAGAACCAGTGACGTTCTTGCTGTGAGGCAACAGTACTAACCACTGGGCCACTGTGTCACCCATCTAGGAAAGGAGGAGGAGG